GGCAGCTTTGCCCTCAATACAGAACCATCTGGAAGTACAAGCTTCTTTAGTAGATTGAAGTCATGCTGTCCAGGCTTGTCACTACAAAACAAACCGTAAGCAATTTATGAAATCATATAATGCCTGGCCAGAGACAGCACAAATTTATGAATAAAACTTCCACCTGACATAAATTGCACATCCTCCTACTGCACGAGCAGCTCCATGATACTCAGCCATTGGGTGTAAGCTCTGCCATTGGAAGTTAACTTCAAAATTACGCTCAACAGAAATGTTTGAAAGTTCTCCATCCAAAAGAGAAATGTGCTGGAAGTTCGTAATGAACAAAGAGATAACGAATATTTGTCAGCTTACATGAAACATATCCCAATCAGGCTGCATAAATTCCCCAACAAAAATGGTATTATAAGCAACAGATGCAATATGGATTGTATGAGATGCAGGGTCTCTAGGAAAGAAATCATCTGAAGCCCGCATAACAGCTGTTCGTTTTGCACTGCACAAATAGATAACAGCAAATTCAGAACTTCCACCATCAACATATATAGCATATTAGCATGTTTAGAACATCAAAGGTAAAGGTACCTGTACAAACCATCTGTGTGGTGATTCCTACAAGCAATTATATTGTTGTCACTGAAGTTTCTAGAAATTGATGCCTCTAAGGCCTGATGGTATTTTCTAACAAGTCTTACTCTTCCACCATGACCTGCCCCAAGAGTTTCCAGGATGGTCTGAGCATCAACCTTGACACCATCAATACCAGCTGATGCAAGATATGAATGAAGCCCTTCATAAAAGTCAGAAACTTTATCTGGATTCACAAGGCCAACACCATTAGTAGAGATGGATTTCAAAACATCACCAATGTCATTTGACTGTACTCCTGGAGATGAAATAGGGTATATTAACTTTGGTTCGTATTTTTGCATTTCAGGAATACCAGGTTTAACACCTCCCCAGTATCCTGTTATTGCATGCCACACATAAACGTACTTCAAAGAATGTTTTTCTTTGATTTCATTGACAACATAAGCAAGCCCCAGAGCTGGATCCACTACCCTCTGACCTTCTTTGCCATTTTTCTGAAATTTATAGTTCTCTCTTATATCTATCAATCTGTCTGCAAAGCTGGAGAACAAGAGAGACAAGATAGGCAAAAACTGTTTAACTACTGCAAATAAACTATTATAGGGAATAAGAAAAAACTATTATAATGTTTCATAAAGAGCTTACTTAGCTGAATTATCAGCCCTGTACGGGATACCATTGGGATCCATGCTGACTGTTTGCCATCCATCATCAATTATAACAAATTTAGGAGGAGTTCCACCCATAGCCAAACTGCAAGATTTATCAGTTACTCTTCATTTATGAGAGAGGTTAGAACTTAGAACCATATAATTTCATAACACGTTCTTAAGGGGAAGAGCTAAACCTCTCTAATCCTTGCTTCAAGCCCTCTGCAGAAACATTAGTGTAGAAAGCATCCCATGTACACCAGCCAAACCAGTTCAACATATCTGGAGTCTAAAGCATGAAACATGCACGCAATTTAACAAAATATGCAAGAAAATTAAGTAGTTGAAAAACTAAGAATAAAATGAGAACAAAAGCCACCTTCTTGCTCTCACGATGAGAAAAGGTCTCTAGATGTTTCTCAATTGTCCTATACAAAATTTGAAATCCAATATGGTCAATGATTCAATTCGTTGAAAAAAGGCAACAATTACAGATATATAAACAGTGTTTACTCATTTCTGAGAAGCATACAGACACAGCATTTTATTTTTGTCACAGCTAGGGAATGCACGTTTTATTGACTAAATGATCCAACAGAGTACATATAGCCCTTGACTATAGACAGAAAATGCCTAGGTATATAAGACTAGGTACAAAAATTGAAGAGACATAATTATTATCCTCAAGGGAGGATTGAAACTTACTTCATTGAACTGGTGATGACATCAAATGGGTCTGAACCAGCTCCCACAAAAACCAAATGACTGCCTTCAAATTCATCAACAGTGGGATCACCTGCAGAAGGCCAATGGATTTTTGAATTCGATAAGGAGAAGCAATATTTTTAACTTAGTGCTTCTTTCACATACCACTTTCCAAACAGATCTCCATCTCATTATTTTCATTCCCCTGAAGAACAGCCCTGAAATCGCCTTCCAGAATTGGTAAGAAAACTGTATAAAGAGTAGATTCATCTGCTCCATCTCCATTTCCACATGCTTCCACAAGCAGAAATTGGGTCTCAATGGGGATATCTTTACCAGAACCACCCATCCATTGTGTCATCCACCACAAATTAAATCGGAAAAGAGACATGAACCTCAACCCCCTACAATTTGGTTGTTATTTTTTTTTTCAATCGTTAAAAGAGTTAAGACAATAAGACATTAATAACCATTTTCATTTCTTTGAAGAACAACACAATGAGAAAGATGAGCCACAACATATGAAACTACACTGCTATTGAATTTTATAACCGTATGTCTCTCCAATCAGACACAGAATGAAAGGAAAATGTAAGGAGTTTGAAACAATAACATACTCAAGCTTGCCGATAGGAAAGACCCTTCTGCTTCCCTTCTGATCTGATCTGACACCAATAAAAGCCCCATCCATTAATGCATCTCCTGAAGCTGAGGCTGCCGGTGTAATCACTATATTCTCATGAACATCATGTAAAATACAGTTCCCGCAAACCATTAGCTTCCCCTCGCTCACAGACAGAGTCACAGATATGCCTGCCCCAACAGTCATTTTTTTGGCTGCAGCAATGCAATGGAATCAGAAAACACAAAAAGCCTCCCTCTGCCCAGAAAACAAAAAAAAAAAAAACTCAAATTAACACAAGGAAAAAGAAAAGAAATACAACAGCTGCAATATAGGAAACATGTCCACCAATCCAACAACTCCTATGAATCAAGTTAAGAGGAGAGCCCTTTAATACTTGTAGGTTCTATTATTGATCCATTTGCAGGAACCAAGAATAATAATAATAATAATAGAACAAAAATCCGTTCTTGAAAATTAAGCAAAATTGGGGAATTGATTCTCCACTTAAAAATCTCTAATTTGATAAGTTGATATAGATACAAAGGAATTTATGCTGTGCAAAAAATCTTAAAGGTATAGGTGTGGACTGAAAAGCAAGCACCCA